CGGGCCGGGGCCCCCCCCCTCCCCCCCCCCCCCCGAGTGCACAAATTTTTGTGCACCGGGCCTCTAGTATAATAAAAGGGTAATATGCCAATTGACCGAACGGCAGAATGACCAGAATGCCTGTGGCTCCTTGCCCTGCCCTGGCTGGCCCCTCCCCTGAGTGGGTACCCCCAGCCTGATCAGGGGTGGGGCAGGCCAGCAAACTGCCCCCCCCCCCCCCCCCCCCCCCCCAGCCCTGCCCATGGCCCCTCACCCCAGCCAGCCTGCCCCCAATTGCCCACATCAGGGCGGGCTGACTGGACCCTACCAGTGCATGAATTCATGCACCAGGCCTCTAGTAGATAATAAATGAACAAAATAATTTTACATAGTGATAAAAACTGAGAAGAAATAAAATGGAAGAGGGTTGATATAATAAGTGGGTGAGTACTTTGTATAGCATGATTCTAATTGAGTAGGAATCAATAAATAGAAAATAAATAAATTATGAAGACTATTTAAAAAATATATATTTTATTGATTTTTTTACAGAGAGGAAGGGAGAGGGATAGAGAGTTAGAAACATCGATGAGAGAGAAACATCGATCAGCTGCCTCTTGCACACTCCCCACTGGGTATGTGCCCGCAACCAAGGTACATGCCCTTGATTGGAATCGAACCTGGGACCCCTGTGTACGCAGGCTGATGCTCTATCCACTGAGCCAAACTGGTTAGTAGGGCATGAAGACTATTTTAAAAAAACTTGTTATTCATTACTTTGATTTGGAATCCTTGTTTGAAAATCTAATGAATTCCTGCCCTGCCCAGTGTGGGTTGCAGGCTCAATCCCCCAGTAGGGGCTTGATCCCCAGCGGGGGCGGTGTGAGGTGTGTGCAGACATGTGCAGGAGGCAGTCAATTGATGTTTCTCTCTCTAAAAATCAATTAAAAATTAAAAAAAGGAAATCTAGCTAATTCCTTTTTGGGAAAAGAAAGCACCACATAAGCCCTCACATTTCTATCATTTTATTAACCCCAAACATTTTTTCCCCCTAGCCCTGAGTTGTCATCTCTAGTTCCTGTTGGCGATACCTCAACATTGGAAGGTATGCTTTTGTGCCTTTACTTACTTTTCTTTGAAAATTATTTATGGTTTAATACAATCTTGCAAGCAAACATTTTTCAGCTCACATTAAAAAAATACTGTGTTTCTCTCTCTCTATATATATGTTGTTCAAGAGCCTCAAGAAAAAGTAATTAAAACATTTATTTTATGGCATTATGTTGTGGGTACTTACAAACCTTTAGTTATTGAGTATGATACAAATCAGAAAACTCCTTAAAACAAATGTATGACCTAAAGAATTACTGTAAGGCAAACACTCTAACCACTGCTCATTCCTGGGCCCAGAATTTGTCATTTGTCTTGTAGAGTTTCCCAGAGTAAGGAGTTTTCTGGCTGCATTCTGCCGTGTACTTTAACATGTTCCTCTGACCTCTCTATTTCCTGTCAATTGATAGTTCCTTTCTTTGTTAATTTTTTAAAAGCTTCTCTTTATTGGAAATTTCAAACATACACAAAAATTAGAATAGCACACGGCCCAGCTTCAACAGTGATCAATTCATGCTTAGTCTCCAACCTTCACCCACCCCCTCTGTGGTAGTATCACTTCCTTCAGTGTCTGTCCCCTTTCCTAGAGAGCTCTGCAAGGACAGGGACTTTGTCTGAATCCCTAGCATCTTGCATAGAGCCTGACATGTACTAGGTGTTCAGTAAATGCTTGTTGAGTGAATGAATGAATCATAATTATTTCTTGTCCTGGGAAGACTCTATGCAAATGTGTCTTAAGGTTAGAATGCACAGAATTTCCAAAGTGAAAAAGCAAATGACTTATGGAAATGGTTTAGTAGTTAGTTCCTTATTTCCTGATAAGGGTTCGGACTTGGTCAGGGACTGTATTCATGCACATGTTTTTCTTTTTCCATTAGGTGCTGCCCTCAGAGTTCCATATCCAGGGGTGACCTCCTCTGCAGGTACCTTGGAGAGCAGCTTGGGGAGACCAGAGGAGAGTGTGAGTGACGCTCTGTTTTGTTTAGTTTATAACATGGAGAACAGGGGTTAAGGGAGGTTATTATGCCATTGTCAGAGTACACAGGACTTCCTGTGGTTCCCTTGATGAAAATGTTTTGGATTCTAAAACCAGTGCATAAAAAGATTCCTTGGAGAGTCAAGTAAAACTGCTTTTGGTGAGAGAGGGCTTCAAATTGTAAATGAGATGGCTCGGGATCTGGGGAACTGTCCGTGGTAAGCCCACTCACCATCTCTTGTGGGCTACAGTACATAATTTACTATGGGGACATTTGCCTATATTCTTCTATCCCTAAATCAGTCAGGACTTAGCTTCCTCTCCTTCAGAGTGAAAGGATATAGATTTTATGTCATTAAAAAAATCTAGAAGCAGCCCTGGCTGCTTTGGCTCAGTGGATAGAGTGTCAGCCTGTGGACTGAAGGGTCTCATGTTCAATTCCGGTCAGGGGCACATGCCTAGGTTGTGGGCTTGATCTCATTGTGGGGTGTGCAGGAGGCAGCTGATCAATGATTCTCTCTCATCATTGATGTTTCTATTTCTCCCTCTCCCTTCCTCTCTGAAATCAATAAAAATATACTTAAAAAAAATCTAGAAGCACCATTCTTTTCACATACATCATTATTAATAGTAACCTGGCCACTGTACAGCATTAAGTTGATTTTTTTTTTACCACATTCAGATTCTTTAAAAAGTACACACTGCCCAGGAAGGTAGACATGTTGTATTAGAAATGTTGTTAAATATGTATTTTTAAATTTTGGGGGTTCATAAATCCTTGATTACTTAATATCAAAGTCTGACTGAACATATTCACTAGAAAGGCACAGTTTAGTTACCTTGCATTTTCTCTACCTAAACTTCAACATTTTAACATATAAAATCAGAATAAATCACCCACTCTGCCCCACCAGCCTCCCTATAACTGAACAAGGCGGGTAGTAGATTGGGATGCCTGAGTTGAGGCCCAAATCAGTACTTTTACCTTCAGTACCACTGTGTTCAAAGTTGATGGTGCTAAAAATATCACCACTTGAGAAATATTTGTGAATGAATGAATAAAAAGTGATACTGTAGTTCTGAACTTAAATCAGAATAATTATGATTTAGGTCTGGAATGTTTTATAGAACAAGATAAAATTTACTATAGTAGACATGAAGGAATTGTGTATAATCAATTGGAATATTAATATCCCAAATAGAAAGGGTAATTTGAAGCCAATTTATAGAACAAAACACTATAGAAATACCTAACAAGAATTAGTCCAAAATAAAGCCCAAGGTACAATTTTGCATTTCAGTTTTTCCTAATATATTTTTCCATCTACCATTTCAGCAATCATATATTTTTTCTATTTTGTTTGTAGTTACACTATAAGTTATAATGCATGTTTATTCTATCAAAATTTAAATGTTTCAAAACCTTTGTCCTTATCCTGAGCAACATGGGAAGATTAGAATACTGTACCTCAAATGACCACCCTACTGATTTATATTCTATTTTTGTTCTTTTCCTCCCTCTACTTTAGTTTTCTCTCTCTTTACTCCTATAACTTAGACTATACTATATTTGTTTTATATAGTAAAGTTTATTTTACATTTATATACACTGATAAATGATGTTTATCATTTTATTTTCTTAAAATTATTTTTTTTTGCATTTTGCATTTTAGACATCTATTTGAGGCTAACTTTCCTTCTGATATATATGCTCCTGATATTACTTTAGTGAGAGTCTCTCACTGGTTCAATCTCAATTTTTGATCACCTGAAAATATCTTTATTATTCCCTTATTTTAGAAAAATATTTTAAATCTGTATTAAATTCTAGATTGAGGTATTTCTTTGAGGTCAAGTTTTATTTCACTATTTTCTAACTTTTATTGTTACAACTGGGAACTTACCGATCAGCTCAGTTGTTATTCGGGTTGTTTTTGTCTACTTTATTTTTTGAAGTTCTTTTGTTGTTTTTTTTTTTTTTGCTTATTTTTTTCAGGGATATTACATTCACATGGGTCTAAGAATTATAAATATAAGAGATAATTGGTCACATATTTAACCCTGCCATCTTCCCAGTTTCCATTCTACACTACCCTTCCCCCCACCCTATCAGGCAATTGCTTTTGTTATATTCTTGTGAATTATTCCAGATTTCATTTTTTAAAATATTGATTTCAGAAAAGAAGGGAAAGGGAGAGATAGAAACATCAATGATGAGAGAGAACCTTTATCTGCGGCCTCCTGCATGTCCCCTACTGGGATCAAGTCCACAACCTGGGCATGTGCCCTGACCTGAAATTGAACCCTGAATTCCTGATTCATAGGTCGACACTCAACCACTGAGACACACTAGCCAGGCTCCAGGCTTCTTAAAGGCACATGCAAGCAAATACAATTCCTATTCTTCCCCACAAGGGATTCTTTAACTTGAGAGTCATGAAGACAACAAACAGGATTATTTTAGGCCAACGCTCTATCCACTGAGCCAAACCAGTCAGGGCTAAACAGGATTATTTTAAAAAGCAGAATATGCATTATTGAAATGAATTATATATAGTTTATGATGCAATAAACTTAAGTATAAATATATATACAATGAACTACAAATAATACATTTAACTGCACAGGGATTCTCTTGTTTCAGGACATTGTGATCCCTTTGAAAGGAGCTCCCCTTTTAAAAATATTCCTTGTCTTCTTTCTCTCTCTCTCTCTCTCTCTCTCTCTCTCTCTCTCTCTATATATATATATATATATAATCTCACAAGAGATAACAGCTGAGAATTTCTCAGAATGTATGATAGACATAAAGCCTCACAATAAGGAAATACAACAAATCCAAAGCAAAATAAGTAAACATAAATATACATCTATATCCATTTTTGTAAAACTGCAAAATCCCTAATTCTGTATATCCCATATACTATATATATGTAAAATACTATACAGTATTTGGGATTCTGCAGTTTTACAAAAATGGTTATAAAAGAAATTCTCAGCTGTTATCCCTTACGATTAGATATGTCTGGCCTCATTTTATTTCTCTAATAACTTTAATTTCTTCATCTTTCTGTTTTGCTTTCAAATATGTCTTTCAGTTAATTAATTCTCCCTTCAACTTAGTCTAATTTGTTTCAAACTGTCTATAGAGCTTTTAGAATCCTTACTTTATGTGAGAGTCTTTGGTCTGATTTTAAACATGTGCAGACCTTCCACTTTGTGATAAAAGGTAAAACTAAAGCCGAGGCCTCAAGGGATCAGCAGATACACCATGTACACAAACAACACTCAATCACCTCCCTGGATTCCTCTAATCTTTCTTGACCCATTGGGGATTTCTTTCTTGAAAATGAGCTATGCTTTCAAAACATTAAAAATATTTATTCAGCATTTTAGGCATTATGTAGCAGTAAGGTTACTAAGCATATTTCTTTTAAAATAATACTGGAAATGGAAGTTTCTGTCCAAATCCAGTGAGGTAAAATTTAAGATAGAAAAATGCAAAGTCTTGTACAAAATTCTATTTAAGACTAAGAGTTTGTGTTGGTGTTACTCTCAATATGAATCAGCAGTATGATGCAGTTACGGGGGGAGAATCACCTAGTAAAAGCTAGTGTGATTTTGGGTTGTATCATACAGATATAGAATCTATCACAAGGGAAGTGGTCATTGGACCTCATTGGTGTGTGCCACACTGTGAGGAAGACACTACAAGCCTGAGAAGTGTCTGTAGGAGAGGAACCAGGGAGAAGTCAGGAAAGACATGATGGCTGCCTGTATTTATTTGAAGGGCTCTCTGGTGACCACAGTGTTTATAGGTGTCCCAAGTTACAGAACTGGGATCAATGGTTAACACTTACAGGAAAATAAATTTGGGTTTAATATTGAAAACATTATAACCATGAGAGCTTCTTTTGGAAATGCAATGGTCTGCCTTTGAAGGTCATGACTCTTTCTCATTAAAGCCATTTAAATTGAGGATGCGCAGCCTGTTGTCAGGGATAGTGTGGAGAGAATTCAAGCATCAGAAACCATGGTGGGATCTTCTAAAGTTTTGAAAGTCGCTGATTATGTGATCCATCAGAGATGAAATGGCACAGTGATAAATTCCTTGTGTTCTCTTCCTGACTCTGCCATTGGCTGTGAGCCCGCAGGCTAGCCATTCTTCCATTCCAATCCCTGGTTTTCTTATGTATCAAATGGAGGGACTTGGATTAGATGAGCTCAAGCAATTATTACTGTATGTTCTAGTAGTGATTTCTAGTCCCCTCATTCCTTCTGCATTTATTAATTGGAATTCTTTTGTAAGAAACTATTGTCACTTCTCTCAGATTTATTTATTAAATCACATTAGCATGGACTCATGAATTTTTTTAAAAAACATATATTTATTTCAGAGGTGAAAAGAGAGGTAGAAACATCAATGATGAGAGAGAATCATTGATTGGTTACGGTTGTAAATGTTTCCCTCCACGTCCCGCGTGGTTCAGGGTTCAGGATCTGGAAGAGGAGCCGCACACAAATGAAAGAGAAAAGACAAGAGATAATTTGGGAATATTGGGGGGCCAGACGGGTAAGTCCAACTCAAGAGGAAGGACTTCCCCTGGTGCTTAGGCCACACCAACCGTTTTATAGTCAGAGGTAAATAAGGTAGTGGTTACCATAGTTACACTGTTTTTGTGAGTTTCACTTGTTTTGACCATGGTTACACTTCCTGCACTTCCCTCAGTCCATTAGCTTCCCAGATAAGATCTAGGGAATGTTATAAGGTCAAGCCTAATTATGCTAAGAGGACTGTGCCCTCTAAGCTGGGACTTGTTTGTGACTTTGCCAACAGGTCAGTCCGAGGCTTAATCCTCCCCCCTCCCCCACTGGGGATTGGGCCGGCAACCTGGGCATGGGCCCTTGACTGGAATCAAACCCAGGGCCCTTCAGTCTGGGGGTCCAACACTCTATCCACTGAACCACAGGCTAGGGCTGGACTCATGAATGTTTATTTTATTATTTGGATTATAATTCAGTATTCATTTTGTCACTCTAATTATTCCAGCCTTGGCCACTGGAAAACCTGGGTTCTAATGATACATAGTACAAAAAGTTTGGTGATATGGTTTCGGATTCCACATAGCAATTAACAATTAAGAGACTACCACCTCTTCCCTGCTGGTGTGGTTCTGTGGGTGAGTGTCAACCTATGAACCAGGAGGTCACGGTTTGATTCCTGGTAAGGGCACATGCCCAGGTTGCAGGCTTGATCCCCAGAAGGGACGTGCAGGAGTCAGCCAATCAATGATTCTCTCTCATCACTGATGTTTCTATATCTCTCTCTTTCTCTCCCTTCCTCTCTCTGAAAAATAAAAACATATTAAAAAAAAAAAAGGAAACTACCACCTCTTGACCTTGGTGTAGTATTTAGAAAGAAATCCACAATTACCTGAAAAGGCTGTTAATATATTCCTTCCTTCTGCATACTGATCTGTATGGCTAGATTTTCTTCACATACTTAAACTAAAACAAAATATTGGAACTGATTAATGCAGAAACAGATTTGAGAATCCAGCTGTCATCGTTAAGCCAGACATTAAAGAATTTGTAAAAATATAAACAATCTTGAGAAACAAGCTTCTAAGCTATTTCTAGATGACAATTTTAGCACAGTAAACTCTATTTTAACTCACAAATGGTCAAATTTGGTGGTTATCTTTGAAATATGTTCTATCTTTCCCTGAACGAATCATTGTGTGTTCAAAGGAATGTACAAATGCACAGCAATTTTAATATTAACCTATGTCTGAAAGTCTACCCAATTTGTTCCAAATTCAAACACTATATAGAAGAGCATCATTAGAAATTGCCTTTGGCATAGTATCTGGCATATAGTAGACAATCAATACATTTTTGTTGATTGAATGAGTAAACATTGGCATTTATTGTTCTTTCCCTAAACTTTCAGATTAACAATGAAATTGAGACTGTGATAGAAGAATCCACAAAACCAGCAGCTGAGCAGATTGCAGAATTCAGTATCCACCTTTTGGGGGAGCAATACAGGGAAGAACTACGGGATCCCTCCAGCTTCCACCACCAGAGCCTTGTAGAAGAGTTTATCGCAGAGGTGAGTGATTTTTGTTTGTTTTTATTCATTTTTTAAATAAGCAAGACAGTTTTCTGGGATAAATGTCTCATATTCACAGCAATGCTTAGAGGCAGATTTGGACTCAAGCTCTCTATCTGCTTTGTTCGGGGGTGATGACTTAGCATTTCTTCAGAAAGCTCTGTGAAAAGTTCACTAAAAGACAGATGGGTTATTTCATTGAAACAAAATCTTCACACATTTGCCATCTAACAAATAAATGCTATTTCCAACATTTGCTGCAAAGCCAAGGAAGAATGTGTCCTGTGAAAAATGAGCATCTTTGAGGAACTACATACAATGTGTTGTTTTTCTTTGCGAAATATTATATTTAATTTTTTTAATTTTCATACTCAGTTCTACTTTTTTAAATTGAAAAATTTTGAATAGTTCACACTGTTCAAACCTGGTAAAACATGGTACCACGTTCAGAGGACCAAATGGCACCCAGTGACCAGTCGATGTCCCTTCTACCTCTGTTCCTTGGGAGTAGGTATTTTTAATAAAGGGTTTCTTTAAAAAATCAGGCAATAGATCATCTCATGATTTTCCTTTCTGGAAGAATTCTATATGGAACTTGAACTCAAGGTTCTTTCAGTCAAAAATGACCCAACTTGTCCCCTGCATGCCTTTGCTCTCGTGTAGTAAGACACTGAGTGTCCATCCTCCTCTCTCTCCAATTACGGAGCACACCATTCCTTCCTGTTTATTTCTTTTCCATTCCCTCTCGATGGGTTTCTTTTTGGCCACATTTTTCAATTCCATCACCTCGGACTAATTTCCTTCCCTAGACACTGTGTCTAGATGAGAAATAAAAATATGCACCTCTCAGCCAAACAGCATCATTGCAGCCATCAGACATGGGGAGTGTAGGCCAGACAGTTAATTTTCCTAGCTGTGTGGCCAAGTTGGGAGGCTGTACGGTATGTGGAAGAAATGCCAGCCAGGCCAGTGGCCACCTTGTGTCAGATCGTGTCTTGGATCGGCTGTCTGGGTCTCTCTGCCCTTGGGTTAAAGAACCTTTAATAAGCCTCCGTGTTTGGGTAAACAAATATTCTGAATGGCTGCATATTTAGGACAGGCTAATAAACACTCTGAAAACCATCTCCTGCAGGGACTTTATGAGGTAGGGAGCTGTTGGCGTGAGGTGGTTTGAAGGTAATAAAGGGCCGGGGCCTGCAGTGCAACAGTTCCTTCTCTGGCCTGTCTCTACATTCCTGTCCCTTTACTTGGAACAAAACATCTACCGCTGGGCCATCTTAGTGGGGTCTGGGGTGAGGCTCTGAAAGGTCTTGTCACCATGTTTACTACAAACTGAAGGAGGCCCTCCAACTCTCTCCCTGCAGGCACAGCCACAGGGATTGTTCCTTCACTATTGTTTCTTAGCCAATATTGGAAGACACACGGGAAAAAAAACCTGCTTGGGGGATTGAGGGAAAAAAATATTTTTTTTTCATGAGAAGAGTAAGAGTAAGATAAACTTGGGACAATGCCAGATATGACATTAGAGGGAAAGGTCAGGCTTGAAGACCGCTACAATATCAACCCAGGGTCCTTGCACACTGCTTTGAGTTCTGTAGGCTGCAGGATGTCTGACTGTTCACAGAAACCATGTGGGTAACAGCATCCATCTATAGATGAGGCCCAGGAGGACTAGTAACTGGTTCCCGGTCATTTCAGCCCCTGGAGTAGAAGGGGAAATCAGGTCTCCTCTTTCCTTTCAAAGTGTTCCTCCCTTTATGTCATGCAGAGTCCCCTTATTTTAATTCAGGTAAAAACTTGTGGTGAGCTGCCCAGTTTCCCCAGTCTTGGTCCTGGTTCTAAACCGTATTTATTATGAGTCAGGGGAAAGAGGAAGAGGCATGCAATTCAATGGGAAGAATATAGGATTTGGTGTTGGAGAGATTTGGGGCTGAATAAGTTCGGATTCAGTCACTCACCAAATCATGACCCTGGGTAAGTGAGTTGACATCTCAGAGTCTCAGTTTTCTCATCTATAAAATTGGGAAAATATGTACCTCTTGGGATTGTTGCAAGATCAGAAGTAATATTGCAAAATCAGGCATATAGCAGTCACTCAATACATTGTATCTATCATTAATCTTGATGTTAGTGAAGTAAAATGACTTCTTACACCTGAACACCTGTACAGTAATTAACTGGATATGATGAATTAAAATGTCTGTATGTATTTATACTCAAGAGATGGCAAAGCCCCCCAAAAGATGGGTTTAGTAATAATAAAAATATGCAATTACTGTAAATAGCATTTTGCAGTTAATAGAGTACTTTCAGAAACATTCCTTTTAATCTTACAGAAACTGATGTGGTTGGTGAGCAGGGCAGTATTAATTCTATAAAAGAAACATGCATGACCACTTTGCCAGCTAAAGCAGCTGGGACTTATCCCTCAGTCTAGGATTCCTTGTCTTGGGATCCCATCCACACCCCATCCTCTAAGAATTATAGCACCACTCTCTTCTCAGAGAATAAAACAAGCCAAACTATTATTATCATGTATTTGGATTCTGTATCCTTAAGGCATGAAGATCTTCAGTGAGCCAAGATTTATTTGTTTTTTTGTTTTGTTAATTTCTTTCAATTACAGTTGGCATTCAATATTATATTAATTTCAGCTGCACAGCATAATGGTTAGACATTTGTATAACTTACAAAGTGATTATTTGATGAGTCTAGTAACCATATGTAGTTATTGCAGTATTATTGACTATATTCCCTATGCTGTATATCCCTGTGATTATTCTGTAGCTACCAAGTTGGACTTTAAATCCCTTCACCTTTTTCACCTAGCCACCCAACCCCCATCCCATCCGGCAACCATCAATTTGTTCTCTGTACCTATGAGTTTGTTTTATTTTGAACCAAAACTTTTAAAAAATTTCACTCTACTGATTATACAAGGACTTGGTTTTAAAATCAGAGATCCACTAACAGAGTTCCCAAGTCCGCTGACAACTTCCTTCCCTTCTTCTGGTGTGAGCTCCATCGTGACTTACCTGGTCAGATTGCATCTTCTGAAATGTGGTGGGTTAAATGTTAAATCTTGTTAAACATTTGGTATTTGTGTATAACTTGATTATTTTTAGCTATTTAGTCCAGTCTAGAATTCTCTTTCCCCTGCTCCAGTCACTAAGCAGATACTGATTTACATGGTGGGACATTACAGACGCAGAAATAAAACTGGTACCCACTGATGTGATGCTCATAAATTGATCTTTGGTCCAGTTAACTTACTGGCCACTGCTTCGTCATCTCTGCGACAACCAGTGAACAAGGCCTCCCTTCTGGGGGGTAAGCCCAGACCTATAGATTTCTTCCTAATGTTGACTGTGTCCACAGTTCCCTTGTGTTGTAGGAACAAGAAACAGACACCACCAGACACTTTTCGGAAATGAACGCCTGACTGTCACCCTGTGTGCTGTAGCCAGACTCCCTATCCAAACACTACATTTAAAAATGCTGTTACAGCTCCTTGGGCAACTAATGTTCTTTTTCACGTTTCATCACATAGGGGAAAGAACAGTAATTGCCAATGAGAAGTATGCCCTTTACAATTTGAAGAAAAATTAATATTAAAGCACATTAGAACCTTAAAAGACAAAATGAAAAAGAAAAACCTACCAGTGTTGTGGTAAATACTATTTTCTAACATTGTAACTATTATTTTTTTAGTAATTTTCTGATCCATGTGTTTCTGTGTATGCATTCAAGCTTCTAATAGTAGAGGGTACACTGTATATTCTACTCCTAAAAGCATTATTTTCTGCATCCTTTCCCACATTTCTACCTATTTATAAATTTTATTTTTAACAGATTGAAAATGCATTTACTGGGTTGCCGGGCTATAAGGACATCCGTGTACTTGACTTCAGGTAAATAGACTAACTCTAAAAATACACTCTTTATTTTAAGTGGAATATCCTGTTGGGTATGTTATATACACAACAATAATTTAAAATGACTCAAATGCTGTAATTCAGTGCTATTTCTAGCAAATGTATATTCCTATTGCTAATATTTCCGGTGAGGAAACTGAGTTGCAAAAAGGCAAAATAATGTACTCAAGGGACATACTGGATCTGTAGTGGGGCCAGGGTAAGAATTGGGAAGTCATGTCCCCCGCTTGCTGCCGGCATGTTGCACTGCTTTTATTTGGCACCGAGGGGAGCCTGACGTCAGATTAGGTGTGACCTCCAGGTCCGACTAAAGCTTGTCCAGGTCTCACTGAGGTGAGTGGTGTCTTGGTGTAAGGCCACTCTGCGCTCACCTTCTTTTCAAACATGACAGTTGTGAGTCAGAGACCTCTTTGGAGGCATTTCTTCCCTGCTCAGACCCACGGCATGACACTGGTGACGTTTATTGAGTGAGTACTTTGTATTAGGCACCTCATTTCCTGAGCCCACTTAATCTCCACCCCCCTCAGAATGCATATTATTATCGATACTCATTTCACAGAGCAGCAAACAGGTTTAAAGGGATGAAGTTTTAGCCCAGAGTCAGAGAACCTGTGAATTAGCTTGTAAATTTGAAGCAAAGTGTCTGAACCTCCATTCCAGATCCAGCACTTTGAAGGTTGGAGCCTCTGGGGGATTGCTGTGGCCCAGCAGTGGGTGCAGTGCACTCTGAGCAGGGGCACTGGGTCACCTTGCAGCATCATTAACAGGGTCAACATCTTAACTGTGGCATAGTCTTGTCACAGCTTCTGGGTTTACCAGAAATTACAGCAATCACTCACACAGCATTTACAGTGTACCAGGCTCTCTATCTATATTAATTCATTTAACCCCAACAGCCATGCTATGAGATACTTATTACCCCCATTGTTTCTGATATGTAAAACAGAGCCCAGGGAATTTACATAGTTTGCCTGAGGACACTCAGCTAGTTATTGGTGCAGGGCAGAGGGCAAGCATGATAAATTGACCCTCCATCTATCCTCACACCACAACCAGTCTCTCCACTTGAACCTTAGTGCTTTTTCACAGAATACCACCTCCAGCTGTGCCTAAAGCTCCCCTGAGAACCTGAGAATGTGAGGCCTTTGGGGATCCCCTCACTTGGCAGCACAGGGAAGGCAACATAGCCTTCGGGGAGTCAACGTTCCTAGGTTCAAACCTTGCCTTTGGCACTTCTGGCTGGATGGTTTCGGGTAAATTACCAAGTCTTAACTTCTCATTTATATAAAAAAAAGACAATTTACCTATTAATCCTGCTTTATTAAATAATACTTTTGAAATACTTTAAATGATTTAGGTTTTTTTTGTCCCTCAGCTCCTTGACCTGTAAAATGGGGGTACTAATGATCCTTAATAAATCTTAATGAGGATTAATTGAAATAACTTTTGCAAAATGATTAGCATAGTTCCTAGCACATGGGAAATTCTTAATAGAACTTAATAGTGTCTGTTACATAAAGCCAATAAATATTAAAGGCACTATCCTATAAGTCAGTCAATCCTGACCTTTCCCAGCCTCTTAGCACCTTACTGTATGTTGCCTGATTTGGTTTTCATTGATTTCAATACTACATAGCACATCGCATCTCCCCAACAGTGTTCCTAGTTTTGTTAATGCCAACTACTGGAGTCCCCTGTTGACCGACTGAAAAAGTTTATTTATAAAGAGATAACCTATATGAACTCTTTTAAAAGTATTTAATAAACCCCAGCCTGGTTGCCCCACGCAGTCTGCTGTTCAGTTGTTTGGTCATCCCTCACTAACCCCCCTGCCGGCCTGGTTGCCCCATGAACTCTTTTTAAAAGTATTTAATAAAGTTTAAAGATAGTAAAGACTTTTAAAATGGAACACTTTTTCCGCCTTTGCTCACTTCCTTCAATCCACAGGAATTTGTCAGCTTCTGATACTATGCAAGCATTTTCACTTAAAGAAACATTTCAGAGGAAATATATTAAGAACTTGTACTTTGATGAACGATATGACAAATACAATTTTAAAATTGTGCTTAACACTTTTTTTTCCAGGTCCCCCGAGGAAAATGGCAGGTAAGGTACTTTTTAGTACTTTCTGTACTTTCAAATGTATGAGGAGTTAGTTTAGAAAATGTGGTAGACCTAGGTTTAAGGGAACATAGCTCAATTCTCTTATGACTTCCAGTATCAGTGTTCATCTCTGTACAGATCAGGGGTTGACAAAAATTTTCTGTTAAGGCTTAGATAGTAAATATTTAAAACTTTTTAGGCCATATGGTCTCTATTGGCAGCTACTCATCTCTGCTAATATCAGATGAAAGTAGATATTGGCGAGATATTGAAAACAAATAAGTGTGGCTGTGTTTTAATATATCTTAATTTATGGACACTGAAATATAAATTTCATATAATTTTCACATGTCACAAAATATTGGTCTTTTGATTTTTTTCAACCATTTAAAAACATACGATCTGTTAATTCAGTGACAGTAGGCTGGATGTAGCTTGCAGGCAGTAGTTTACAGACCTCTGTTATAGACTGAATACTGACAAGTACTTTTAAATAGAGGGAACGTCCTGGCTGGTTTGTTAGAGTGTTGGCCCTTGGACCGAAGGGTCTTGGGTTTGATTCCTGGTTGCATGTTCCCCAGCCCCAGTAGGGGTGCAAATGGGAGGCAACCAATTGATGTCTCTCTCTCTCTCTCTCTCTCTCTCTGTGTCTCTCTCTCTCCTCCCTCTCTTCCACTCCCCCTAGAAATCATAGAGAAAATATCCTCAGGTGAGGATTAAAAAACAAAAAGAGGGTGGGGCAAAAGTAGGTTTATAGTTGTATGTGAAACAGAGTTTATTCTTGTATTATTATTATTCATTAATTATGGTATTATTTTCATATGGACAACTGTAAACCTACTCCTACCGCACTCAGTATGGAGATACTTAATTTAAAATAGGAATAAAAACTTGCATTAATTTAATACTTTCAAGTATTTTATGCATCCAATAATATAATCGAGTGTCACTTTAAGTGGTAAATGAAGAGAAGAAAGCAGATCTCTATAAGAGTTTATTTGCAAAAACAGCTGCTCTCTAGAATTTCATAGAGGACGCATGTGTAATAATAGAAAAGCATAGTCAATACCCCTTGTGAAGGTTGCTTGTCATTTTTTGCCTTTGGGTTCCATATTTATTGAACATTCACTTTCTCTTGGAAGATTGACAAGTATAGTCTAGAATTTATGAAGTATATTCATGGGTTAAATGTGGGCATGTTTAGAGATACAGTAATACTCCTTCATTGTAATTAATACCTTATACAGTGGGGCCTTGACTTAAGAGTTTAATTTGTTCTGAGACTGAGCTCGTTAAGGAACTCGTTAACTCAAATTACTCTATCAACTCAATGCAAAAAATCGGCCGAGAGACAGCTGGTATCTCAAAAAACTCATTAGTCAGGACAGTCGTAAGTCAAGGCCCCACTGTATTTGGAGAGGGCATTTTAACTTCCTCGTTTTCACTTATATCATTTTAGAAAGTATTAATACGTGCCTACAAATTAGGTAAACCCTCTGTCTACAAAAATTAGTGACTGTTGGTCTCCACCCTCTAGGAACACAGTCTAATGGAAAGCACTTTTAGAGATATGTCAAAGTACTGGTTCTTTCATTTTTTTTCCATCTAACTCTCTTGTATTCCTGTGAGATCGTGAAAATGAGAATTAATATTCGTTCTATTTTGGTGCTGAGGAAATTTTGCCTCAGGGAGGCAAATTGATTTGCCATATGTTACGTGACTATATATCTGATATTTTGACTAAGGGAATCAGAATGTGGGTTTCTGTACTGAGTATGTGTAAACTGCTCTGTGTGTGTTTGTTATAGGCACATTTGTTGATTGTCTGTACTCAACTGAAAAGCCTGATTATGGGTGATTAGAATTTAAAACAACCCAAATTCTGATGTTACCCTATGACCAAAAGAATGGTTGCTGAGTGCTAAGTTCTCTCTAGGGATACAGACAACAATTCAATATGAAGCCATTAGATTTTATGATAAAATTGTTAACTTAAGTGCAGTTTCCAAAATTGTCAAGTGTTAAGTAGTTTATGACATTTATTCGTAACTGTTCAGTATACTTTTATTCTGAGCTGTGTATGAGTAAAAGTGTGGTGCAGAAATAGTCTATTTATATGATATATAATCTCTTTATAAACATGTGTAAATGTTACATGTTATAAACATAACATAACAAAATATTATAAATGTAAACATTTATATGCACATGAAATTTCTATTTGCTTTGTACCCCTTTCAAGATGCACACATTATTTTAAGTTGGTAGGACTCATTTGAAGTGAATCAACAAAATATTTGCCTGGTGTACACACTTCAAATATTCAGCTCCAGACTTCATAAGTGTGCATCTTCTTCCTAATAGAAGTTTTATAAAAGAAAGGATATCTAAGTTTCTCTGAAAAATCTTTATTTTGGTGACCTTAATGAGATGTGATTGCATTATTTTTTCTATTTAAAATCTGCACATGTCAAACAGCCAACAAGGGCATTTGAGGTGAGAGAATGAGAAAGGGAAAATTTCACCTCCACATGATTCAAATCTCTGGAAATAGCTGTCAGACAGAGAAACTTTCCTCTTGGAAGCAGCTGATTTAGTCTAGGTTGGAAGATGAAGGGTGATGGTGGTTGGTTCCTTGGAGTTGTTAGCGCAGAGAGCCAGCAGAGCCTTCTTCAGTCAGATACTGCTTTTGGCTCTTTCAGTCTGTCCCTCATCATGAGAAATCTCTGTGCTCCCTTTGCCACGCCATAACTCAGTCTGTTCTGGGTCATAGGAAAGTGCCTGGCTCTGAGAATAGATGGTTTCCTCATATCTCAAGCCTTTCTTTGAGTTCTCTTTCCAGGATAAAAACATGGTAATAAATTGTAGCATCTCTCTGAGGATTTTATCTTCTTTAATGAATTTATCCTCACTAGATCTGGTAGATTATAATAGAAATGTTCTTTTTAGATGTTCAAGGGAAACATTTGGGAAACAAATTTTGCCAATAAAAAGTTAGGCTAGTAATCTAACCTAGACTGCCTGATTTGCATAGATTTCTTGATGCAGGAATATTTCTCTTGATCTTCTCCATATGATATTTATAAGTCATGCAAGGCATATCATAGGCTCCTAGTAAAGGCTTGTCTCTCCTTCTCTGATTTTCTTATAGCCAGAAACCAACTCAAGTGCTAACTGGTTCAGCCTTTAGTATCTTCTCCATTTTCCCCTTGTCACTTTTTCCTGTCCTAGAGCCATGATAACATGTTAATATGTTGTACAAAGACCCCAAAGAGAAGCTCATCTTTCTGGAGATGTGGGCGTGGTCCATTCCACTGAGCTTGGGAGAGTGTGCACATTCTCACAGCGCTGTGCTCTGGCTGTGAGCAATGCCCCCAGATGATTACTCACAACACACTTGTATGAAGATAATACATATGCTCTTTAGGGTAAAAAATTACTCCTATTTAGAGACCGAAAATTCTTTGGATTAAGTCAGGAGTACCACATACTGTCATTTATTTGCTTATATTAGTGAATACAATTGACCATTTGTTTTTTTCATTACTTTCAAATATATTTATTGAATTACTATGAGCCAGGCATTGTGCTAGATGCTTGGGACACATATGGTGTAGTGAGTTCTGACCAGTAGGTGTCCCTCTTACTGTTTTATTCCACCTTGGAGCCATCCTTTGGTTATTTTAATATATTTTACTGAAGTTATTTCTTTACGAAAAAGATCAGGAATTACCCTTGAATCAACATATTCTGACATGGGGAAAATTAAGTGGTTGAAGGATGCTAGATGACAAGCAGATGTCTCACCACTTAAAGCATCAGGTGTCGAAGTGCTCAGTCACCATGTTAAAGTGCCCAAACCACCCCTTTGGGGGTGGCAGCTTATTGGGAGGAAACCTCACTGAAGTTACTCAGAGTGAGAAGTTCAAAGAGGCCTGGCTGCTTGAATGGCAGGGAAGGATGTCACCTTCATGGCATCCGCTGTAGTCCAGGATGTGATCTGCAGCAAGCAGGCTGAGGACAGGTCCTGCACCGCCAGGGCTCCGAAGGAGAGGTCTCTTAAGACCAATTCATGCTTACCAAACCACAAAACACACTGCATTCTCTAGGATGCCAGCTGATGTATTTAAAGTGAGAAATATATCTGCCAATTGATCAATTATTGCATTGGCTGGCTCATGCATTCTTTTTCTATAGGAACATATGTAGGCAGTTATAATCAAAAGTTTTCTTTGCAAACTTGAAATCTGGAAAAGGAAGTTGGTGATTTTAGTGGCCAGTATCATCAAGCCATGCCAGCCTATTGTAGCTGTCTGCAGCCTAGGGATCTGTCTTCTGAGGAAGCCACAATACACTGGTGAGAAGAATTCTACTCAATAGTAACACAAGTTAATTGACTAATTCCCTTTTTCCTTGACTTCATGAGACCATTGTCATTATGTTGATACTTTTTCTTTAGATATGTTAATACCTCGATTAGGATGCAGTTCTCTTTTTATATTCAGACTAGAGGCCCGGTGCATGAGATTCGTGCACTGGAGGGGTCCCTCAGCCCAGCCTGTGTCCTCTCGCAGTCCGGGATCCCTCTCGCAATCTGGGGCTCTTGCAGGTCGGGACCCCTCTCTCCTTACTGCCCGCCTGCAGCGGAGGGAGAGGCTCCTGCCACCACCACTTTGCTCACCAGCCGTGAGCCTGGCTTCTGACTGAGCAGCGCTCCCCCTGTGGGAGTGCACTGACCACCACGGGACAGCTCCTGCATTGAGCATCTGCCCCCTGGTGGTCAGTGTGCATCATAGCGACCAGTCATTCCACCGTTCGGTCGATTTGCATATTAGCCTTTTATTATATAGGATATTAGCCTTTTATTATATAGGATGAGTATAGATTTCTGTTCATTTAGTAGGCACTGGGTACCCCTCTTTCCCAGGTACCAAGCTGAATATTGGGGATAGAAACTCAAGAAGAGACTGAAAGGCAGTCACTGTAAACAAAATCTTTATACAAAACAACAAAGGCTATAATCAAGGAACATATAAGAATATATAAGTAAGTTAAGAGGAAGGACTTAATTTATTTTTATGCTCTGATTTGGGAATCATTTTGCTCCTACCGAAAAGCGATGGAAACCATGCTTTCTGAGACTCTCCCTCTAGGTCTAATGCTTGTTCTCCTGGGTTCATAGTCCTTCTTTTGTGCTTCCTTAGCAGGTCTTCATCTGTTCTCTCTTTTCATCCATAGTGGCACAGATGTTCACTATGCAGTTACTTTCAACGGAGAGGCCATCAGCAATACCACCTGGGACCTAATCAGCCTTCACTCCAACAAGGTGGAAAACCATGGTCTTGTGGAATTGGATGATAAGCCCACTGCTGTTTATACAATTAGTAACTTCAGAGATTATATTGCTGAGACACTGCATCACAATTTTTTGCTGGGCAACTCCTCTTTGAATCCAGATCCTGGCTCCCTTCAGCTCATCAACGGTGAGTTTCATAACAATCATGAAGTCCTCTATAGTTTTAGTTCCTTTTCTAGTATGCTCTGGTGAAATGAATTTCCTTAAATATACGTGGTTCTGAGCATTCTCTAGACCAGTGGTTCTCAACCTTGGCTGCACATTAGAATCATCCCTGAGGCCCAGAAATCAGGATTTTAAAAAGATTCCCAGGTAATTCTAATGTGCAGCCAAGGTTGAGAACCACTGCTCTAGACTGAACGAGATAGGAACCATCCTAAGCTGATTGGAAAGTTAGCCATGTACTACTTAGGATGGATTAATCAAGGGCTCTCTGGAATATTTGTAGATGGAAGGCCACCCTTTGTGGAGAACAGCATGATATTTAGAAATAGTTTAGAGCTATGGAAGCAAACTATAAGAAAAAGTCAAGAAGTACCTGGAAGTATGAATTGAAATAGGCTGTAGTGCTGCCCCGGCAACCAAGACATCAACTCTCCAGAGGCAGGTCAGCTGTAAAGGCTCAAAAGCCAGAGAGCAGAAGAGAAGGAGCAGCTCAGGGAAGCTGCTGGAAGACCCTGGGAAAGAAGAACTGAGACTGGGTGCTGGGCAGGATCCCAGAGAATCCCACACTAAGTTTGAGTTCAGGCGGCTGTATAGGTCCAGTTATGACCCAAAGTCAACAGGTGGATCTGGGGTCAGCCAGGAGGGGCTGACTACTCTGAGTTTGTTTGTTTGTTTGTTTGTTTGTTTATTTATTTAATCCTCCCTCGAGGATATTTTTTCCCCATTGATTTTTAGAGAGAGTGGAAGGAAGGGGGAGAGACAGAGAGAAACATCTATTGAGAGAGACACATCGATTGGTTGCCTCCCGCACATGCCCTGCCTGGGCCAGGGATCGAGCCTACAGCTGAGGTATGACTGGTATTGAACCTGTCACCCTTCAGTTTGTGGGCTGGTGCTCTAACCACTGAGAAACTGGCTAGGGTGGACTACTCTGAGTTTGAGTGACCTAGTCAGGAGAGACCTAGTCAACCTGGGACAGAGCTTGCTGAGTCCAGAGCTTAATGCATCAGGGACGTGGTGCCCTGTTAACTTACCTGCTACTTCCTTTTACTTCTCCACAGTTTCTTCACTTGGTAGTTGAACTTTTAAAATGTCCAGAGTATATTTTATTGAAGCGACCCCCATAGGAGAAGTACCAGCTACTAAGGAGGAAAATCCACAAGTGGGAGGCAATGCTAATAACGATGCATGTTTACAGCCTCTCCAACTGCCACATAACCCGAGGGGAAAAGAAGCCTCTATATTTTTAGGCAGCTACCACCTAGGTCCCGTGTGTGTGTGTGTGTGTGTGTGTGTGTGTGTGTGTGTGTGTGTAGACAAATAAAAGCAGACACAAGGGAGAAAAAGAAAAGAAAGAAAACATTTTAACAAAATTTTACTCTGTATAATATAATTCCTTACTTCCTAAATAAGATATTTTTTGCCCTGGCTGGGTAGTTCAGTTGTTTACAGCCTTGTTCCCATATGCCAAGGTTGCAGATTTGATCCTGATTAGGGTGCATTAAAGAAGCAACCCAGTTTTCAAAGGTACTTTCTGCTATAAAGGAAATAGTTTTGCATAATTTTCTCCTTTGTTAGCATCAATGCATAAATAAGTGGAACAATCGATCAATGTTTCTCTCTCTCTCTCTCTCTCTCTCTCTCTCTCCCTCTCCCAAATCAATAAGAAAAAAACAACACAAAAGACAAAGATATTTTTTGAGGGACTAAGCTAAAACTTTGAATTCTGTTTCAATAAAATAATTGCAAAAATAGGCTGCTGAACTGATGTCTCTTTAATGAACCAGTGTGCTGAGACAGGGCCACAGAGTAGCCTCGACTTTATTTGGGTTACATAGGACTTTTTAAAAAAATATTTAAGAATACATTTTATTCTTTTTTTTAAAATTAAATCTTTATTGTTCAGATTATTACAT